ACAAAGAAACCCGGACGGACAGACCGACATACCGACATACGGACACACCGACATACCGACAAACCGACAAACCAAGTTACTGCTTTATATATAAGAAGGATTGGTCGATGTAGTAGTCTCTGCGCGGGTGTCCATAGATCACAGTGTGCTCTGTTGAGTAACTGTGTTCTTCAACAGCCAGTCAGCATTAGTTTAGATTGCAACTCAAGTTGGAATACTCCCGGCATGGCCTCGTGATGCCTAAACACGTAATTGAAATTGAACAGATCGAAAATTGAAACATAGCATAACAGACAGTCTATGCATTATTACACCACTATCCTCGTAGCTTATGCTCCAGCTCTTTTTCAATTCCTTTCTGCTGCCCTCCTTTCGATAGTAGCTTATTGACGACGGATGCCGTTGTCTGCTTCTAGAAATCCACACAAGGCCAAGTGGTGTCCAATCTTTTTGCAGTGAAAACACGCGGTGACTTTCCCCCCAGAAGTCTGGGTATGTGGCGCAGAAGCAAACTTAAAATGTTTTTGTTCGCATTTTATTCATTGGATTCATCGTCGAGTGAACGTTAGTCTATGCATTGCATGAAGCTCACTCAGTTGTTGCTTGATTGCAAGGGATGTCCCAATTTCGTTGGTATAAGTCTCAGGCGCGATGGAATTGTGTTGTGCTCTAGTGAGGCTTCTAATGAATCGCCTGGTCGCAATCCAAAGGTGTTCATGGTTTGCTTGTTGTTTCTCTCACGGCATTTGGGAGGAGAATACCTTCATGAAGTCTACACTTTCTTGGCTGTGTTGGCTGTCCTTGGCTAAAGTCTATGTGTTCTTATCAATTGCATGGTGTGCCCTTTTCGGTCACAATCGGATCGAATACAGCAGAATATAAGAACTGCATTTTATGCATATCTCCTTGACTGTCCAACGCGGTAGACGTCACTCCCCATTTTGTGGATTTCGCTTCTGTCATTCCGAAGGTTCCCAAAATTGCATGTTCCGTTGTATTCTAATTGTAAGAATTCCGTCAAATTCAGACTGACAAGGGTTGCTCCACGCTCGTTTCAGAAAGAATTTCAACCGATTGCATCATATCCATATTTAATATTCCATATATGCGCCCCACTCCGGTTGAAACGACAACATTTTCCATTTGCGTTGGCATCTTTCATAGCCCACGATTTTGCGAGCGACCAGTCGCGCGACTAGTCGTAGATTTTGAAAGCAGCCTTTCTTGGTGAAATAGATAAGGTGCGGTTATTATCGTCCTGCTCCAAATACCTTTATTCAGATGTGAAGTGAGAAGAAATTCGTAATGATGAAGAGGACATATATTGCAAAAGAAAACGGTTATATGCGAGAAAACCTCAGACTTTTACACAATAAGTTTAGCCAAACTTGAATATTTATACTTGCCTCAGCTTCTCAGAACTTGCGGGGAAGTTCATGTGCAAATTTATGCCGACGATATCAAAGTTTACGCTGCTTTTGATGATAGGAACGGTTGTGTAGTGCAGCAGGCACTTAGACTGTCTGTGGAGAGAATGATTGAGTGGGCTTCCTCGTGGGATATTCCGTTGAACCTTAATAAATGTTTAGTGATGCATTTCGGCAATTCTGTTCGAAATGATTACGTTGTTAACGGCGTATCTCTTCCAAGTACGAGGTCCACAAAAGGTCTAGGGGTTATTTTCGATACTAGCTTGATGTTTTCTTGCCACATTGACAGTGCCGTCAAGAAAGCTTTTGCTGCCCTTTTCCTGGTAATGAGAAATACGAGGTGTTCTGATTCGTCTATACTGCTGCGTCTCTACAAAGCATATGTGCTGCCCCACTTAGAGTATTGTTCGCAAGTATGGGGTCCTTCTCTCAAAAAAGATATTCAAAAGCTTGAAAGGGTTCAACACGTGTTTACTCGACTGCTGTGGTACAGAACCAGGCCCTCCGCAACCATTCTCCCGTACCGTGATCGACTGAAATCACTATCTCTTCATTCCTTGCAGTATCGACGAGTAATGTCTGACTTAGTGTTCTGTTTTCGCGTCCTTCGGAAGGAGGTGAGGTTGACTGCGAGTAAATACTGGATTTTCAGACCAACCAGTGAAAGGTTAGGTGGGTTTAACCATCACTACCCTGTGATTCAATCCAAGTGCTATTCTTCGATGTTCAATAATCTTTTTAATCGTTGTGCGAGGTGGTTCGAGCTTCTTCCGTCCCATGTCGTTCAAGCACCAAATAGTAAGGTATTCAAAAGTAGACTGAGCAAGCTCGATCTCTTGCGCACTCTAGGCATTCCAGAACATATTTGACGATTGCTATAACATTCCGGTATTTCAGCTTCTTCTTGCAGCTGCCTTCTTTAAGATACATGCTCCGATATTTTCACGTCCGTCCAGTCCCGAAGCTAGATTATTAGTAGCCATTCTCAGTTTGCTTCTCTCCATAAATTCCTTGTTTCTTATGCTGTTCAGAAGATTGTCTTCCATACTTCTCTAATTACTTTTTCTTACTCTTAGCAGTATTTGCTGTTTGTAGTAGCCCTATTTCTCTGGTTTGTTTCGGGTAACTTGTTCATTTCTCTACTTCATCGCTGCTTTAGTGCTGTTCCCTCTCTTTCTCTGACGCAAGGAGCCGGCCAGGTGAAGCATGCTTTCGATGATGTTGAGGCCTTCATTTTTTATATGTGCTGGCTGTTTGAGGATCCTGTGAGACGAATAACTTTTCCGCTGAAGTCTCACTTCGTCTGCTCGCCTGTGGCTCCGAATCGAATTTACTCCATATTTGAGCTCTGTTGTCAGCAAGCCCTAGTTACTCTTGCTTCTCTTGGCATCATGGGCCAGTGTAACACGATGAAGTTTTTTTTTCACAAGGGAAAACAGCTCTCCTGTTCCATATGAGAAAGGTCCCAGCAATATTTCATAAATGCTCCATTACTAGTTTCTTGCTTCCCTCTCTGGCGTTATCCTCAATTTTTCTTAAGCTAATGTATACACATTTTTCCCGTTTTCAAAGGACCATCGTCTTTCAGTTTTTGCTTTTGCGTTGTATGGCACACCCTTGGGTGTATAAATAAATAAATAAATAAATTTACACAGTATTTACAAGTTCATACCGGTCTAATGACCATTTACTTTACTGCTTTTACTGCTTTCGGATACTGCAGTCTAAAAGTAAAGCATGCAAAATATGACAGCCACTTCACCAACTAGTTCAAGTGGTCCTTCGAAGAAGAACACTCAAATTCACAGAACATATTTCCATTGAGAATATCCATAATCGATCGGAATCCGCGTTGGAGTACATAACAACAAAACTTCGAGAACAATGAAATATCGGTAATCGAAGAAATCGGTATACTGCTGTCTTCATTTGAAATACCAATTTAGATCGGATGCGCTCATGTTATTCTTTGTTGCTGGCCATTTCGCCTATTTTTTGCTGCCGCACTATAGTGTGCTTTAGATTCGGACAATTTTGCTGCTGGTGACAGAGCTGTTGGTACTATGTATGAACGCGAGAAGTTTCGCTCGCACTAACATGATTTTTGTGAAGTTCTTTTGTGTCCACAGTTCAGGCACATGCCCTGTTCATGAAGGAAATTTCGTCTTTCCGTGGTGGCGCTGTAACGCAAATAGCTCGCTGTTTTTTTTCAAAAACAACACTCCGTTCAATGTCCTTATTTGAAATATTGCTGATGCGCTATTCTATCGCTATCTGTGCGTCCAAAGAGCCAACGATATTTTGCATTTTCCACGCGTTTTCTGTCATGTCTTTAGAAATTAGATTTAAAATCTTCCGCTGGATTCTGGATGCGAACTCAAACAACGCTCTCTGAGTGTTTGACTCTTTGAGTTCACTCCAATTGGTGAAGCTGCACGATCAAAGGAATGATGCATTCTAGTGACCTTGTATTTTTTAGATGACTCAGTAACACTCTCACTAATTCCGCGCTGTTGCCTCATCTTTTTTGTTCAAGAGGTCGATTGCTAACATGTACTTTACCTCTGTGATTGAGTAATGCCAAATTAAGTTCCGACTTCTTCTGAAGGAAACGAATAATTGAATTTTTAAAATTCGGTGTGTTTTGACTATAGACATTGTCTTGAAAGAGCATCCAAATATTGTGGGACTTCCATATTTTTCATCAAAAGCTGGCATCTGGCATGGGTATGGTGGGAAGCTTCCACCATCGATTTCTGTGCTCTCATTGAAGATCACCAGTACACTTGCGTTATATGCGTTTCTCTTCGAGTTTGATCGCTAGTTGGTTACCTCGATCAGTGGGGTCGTGTTGGCTTTCCATATCCCCCAAGGTTTAGTCTTGATTTTCTTTTGTGAGCGTATCAAATAAGGAATCTACTACACTCGCAAATGTTGCAAAATAGTCAACTAGTAATCGTGTCGTTGCTTAGAGATCAAGTCGGACTTTAAAACACTTTATTCGGTATATTCACAAGACACGATAGACCAGCACAAGAACAAAATGAAATCTACAGAAGAAAAAGAAGGTAGGTGTCAAGAGAATATAACAGCTATATTTATAGCGACGCATCGCCAGCTTATCATGCCGTGCCCGGCTTCCCATCATAGGTTATAGATGTCAGACCGGCTATCCCTACACATGAGAGGTGCGCCGTTCAAGACATCGGCGGATGAAATGAACCTCGCGACAAGACCCTATTTGACCCGGAGTGCGGCTAAGCGGTTTTGGAAGAAACATGGACAGCCACGAGGAAACATTATAGTTTGATTATCGGGCTGCCGGAATTTCATGCTGCTATGATCTGCATTCCAATTCTGGCACGTATTCACTTGCCGAATCGGCATAAAGCTGCTATAGCTCCCCGCTATAGCCCGAACGACACTGCTAAGGCATACACGGCGGCTACCACAGTTTTTCTCTTGCCAAGAGACCTTCATCAGTTGAGTGTTGTTCTCAATAAATTCTAACCACCAGGCGCTTTCTGTCAGCATCCAATCTGAGGCGTACTGCCGATTCCCATCATGTAAATGTGCACCCACTGCCGGCATGGCGTGGCTTCGGGGAAAATGTCATCACTATTCACGGTTTCGGCCACCTTCTCAGGTGGCCCACCTGGTTTCCCTGTATGGCAACAGCCTTATGAGCTCCCATCACAGTGTTCTAAGTTCAACTGCACGTGTTTGCAACACAGGCAAGGATCATTTACAATATTTGTTCGCAGGCAGGACGAGAAGACCCCGGGGCATATTTTGCGTTTCTTAGCCTCTTCTGCTAGAGTACACGCATAAGCTGTACGCACCAGTTTTCCAACATCAATGCTTCGATCATTCATACTTACCAGACGTTTTATCGGACTGTCTTCACTGGTGCCTCCACATACCCATCCGACGTTTGCCGGTTGGATTTTCTCTTTAGCTTCCGTCATGTATACGACGCCTGTATAAGACGCGACACCATAGGCGCATCTGCCTTCTCTCCCGAGGCCGATGCTACAGTCACTCGACCACTCTTGTCCGATTACATGACTAGCTGTACCTACCACGAACTTTGTTCCTGCGCCTCTGAGAATCCAATATACCATACCAGGTCTTTACGCGAGATGGTATGTACCGCAATACATCATACGCAGCACTTCGTATTTACTGCAGCCTGACTCTAGCTTGCATGCGTCAGGCAGCTGCTTCACTTTTCCGCTCAGTGGGTGTAGACCATACTGTGGGCGTGTCCTCTCCCTCACACGTGCTTTGATTATACATATCTCCAGCACGGACCCATGTATTGCCAACTTGTTTCCTTTGATACACAGGGTTCCCCTGCGCTTCTCCATTGATTCCGGTCGTGGCTGCATTACTTCCTTCGTTCCTTCAGGGCACTTATTCTTCACACGTACAGTCTCACCTGCCGTAGGTACAGTATGGGGATTTCCTGCCGTTGCCGACGCGGGTCCTCTCTCTATACTTCTGACCTGTTCCTGCAGAAGCTTTATCGAATTCACGGAGTCTTCTGTTATTTTGTTTATTTCTGTCTGTCTATTGCCTTTTGTCTATTTCTGTCTATTTCTCTTTTTGCGACTCCGCAATTTGCACATTTCCTATCCACGGTTTGTGCGACTCGGTCTAGTTCACAGGCTAAGCTCTCTGTCACTTCGCAAAGCATGCGGCTGTGAGCAGTTAAGCTGGGTAAATGGTCGTGCAGCTCCGCCTGCGACATCGAATTTATTCAGAAAATGCAGCACGTCCACTTGATTATAGGCTTTCTTTAACCACAATGGTCGCGCACTGCATCGAACCGCGCACTGCACCTAATATAGCTCTCACTTTATGTTGGCCAAAAGTCTAATTTGGTCTTCATTTAGTTGCAGGAGAATATTTCAAAAACATTTGTTTATATCCTCTGACTGGCAACTCACCCCTTTATCATCCCAATCGCTCAGAGGTTGGGGAACGGATTCACTGTGATCCATAGGAGTGTCGATTCCGACAGTTTCTTCCGAGGTAGTCATCTTCAGAGATTATCTGGAAACGTGACTATTAGTCACATCAAGAAAAAGAAGATGGGTCTCAAAAGAATACAACAGCTATATTTATAGCTG